CTTGTACACGATGCTCATAATAGATTTATTTGTAATAGCCAAAACTGGAAACAACCCAAATGTTCAAAAGTTGAATGGCTAAACAAATTGTGGTATATCTATACAATGGAATATTACTTGGCAATTTAAAAAAAAAAAAGTATGATTGATACACACTAACCAAAAACCAAACCTGTTGCCGTCAGGTCAATTCCGACCCATAGCGACCCTAGACTACATAGATAAATCTCAAAATAACTGTGCTGCATAAAAGAAGCCAAACCCAACCCCCTCATCCACCCAAAAAAGACGTATGTATGTAAATTTCTAGAAAAGCAAACTAATCTGTAGTGAAAGAAAGGAGATCAGGAGATGCCTTGGGTGGGGAATAGGGACAAGAGAGAAGGATGATAAATGCGCACCAGGAAACATTTTAGTGTATTCTGATTGAGGTAGTTTCACAAATACACATAGGTCAAAACTTATTCAAATTGTACAACAGCCTTGAACAAATTGTTTAACCTTGTTAACCTCAGTTTTCTCATACAAGTCCTAAAAAGAGTTTAAAAATAATGCTATTATTATAAGGTGGAGAAGGTTAAACAGTACCTGACTGGCTCAGTAAATGGCAGCTTGTTAAGTCTCTGCTTTGTAGTTGTGTTGCATTTTATGTTTACATATAAACAACTTTTCATTTACAAGCATGCTTTAAAGCTGTTTTATAATGAGAGATAGTGACAGTTTATTCAGATAAAATTTATTACTTAAATTGTTAGGTTTTCCAGTGAAGTTTGTTGAATACTGATTATTCCTCAATAAAGCAATTTAAAAAATTATAGGTGGCCTTAATAAGACATGCTAGTGTAGGGAATAAGGCATCAAATAAATAGGAATGGTTCAAGAGACACAGATTGTGCTTACAGGCTATTTCAAAATTCTTGGCTTTTAAGAGAATCTGATCAATTGGGCAGTAACGGAAGAGCAGTCTAAATATTGGAGAGCCCAAATCATGTTTAAATGGTAAGAAGCGGGTGGATTAAAGGTTCAAGACAGAAAAATAATTAAAGGACCCGAAAAGGAAGGAAGGGAGTAAAATCTATAACACAGGTTACAGTATTGGTCTTTGACAAGAAAAGCAACACAATCTCTTGTAGAAAATAACAAAAGGGTAAGCAGAACATGAGATCAAATAAAAGGGAATATGTAAATTTGGGGGAAGCAATATGAGAATAGATTCTGTATATCTCTATGATATAGGAGGGATATAGAGTGTGTATGGGATAGACCTGAGGATTTCAAAGGTTTGAAGAGTACAAAGAAAGTATAAAATACTCATTGAAAGATTAATAAAGCACTTACTGATAAAGATCAAAGACTACAGCCTTCAGTATGGATTACACCTCAACATCAAGAAAACAAAAATCCTCACAACTGGACCAATAAGTAACATCATGATAAATGGAGAAAATATTGAACTTGTCAGGGATTTCATTTTACTTGGATCCACAAACAATGCCCTTGGAAGTAGCAGTCAAGAAAGCAAACAACATACTGCATTTGGCAAATCTGCTGCTGTCATGGATTGAACTGTGTCCTCCAAAAAATGTGTGTAGCAACCTGGCTAGGTCATGATTCCCAGTATTGTATGATTGTGTTATCTGATGTGATTTCCTTATGTGTTGTAAACTCTACCACTATGATGAGATTATATGTGATCTCATGTGTTGTAAATTCTATCACTGTGATGAGGTTATACTGATGACGTTGACAAGATTAGTGTCTTAACGCAATCTCTTCTGAGATATAAAAGAGAGAAGCAAACAGAGACACACGGGAACCTCACACCACCAAGAAAGCAGTGCTGGGAGCAGAGCACGTCCTTTGGACCTGAGGTTCCTGCGCTGAGATGCTCCCAGACCAAGGAAAGACTGAGGCATCACAAGGACCTTTCTCCAGAGCCGACAGACAAAGAGAGCCTTTTCCTGGAGCTGATGCCCTGAATTTGGACTTGTAGCCTACTGGACTGTGAAGACAATAAATTTCTCTCCGTTAAAACCATCCATTTGTGGTACTTCTGTTAGAGCAGCACTAGATGACTGAAACAGCTGCAAAAGACCCCTTTTAAAATGTTAAAAAACTAAGGTGCACCTGACCCAAGCCATGGTATTTTCAATCACCTCATATGCATGCCAAAGCAGGACAATCAGTAAGGAGGACCGAAGAATTGACACCTTTGAACTATGGTGTTGGTGAAGAATACTGAATGAATATACCACGGACTGCCAGAAGAACCAACAAATCTGTCTTGGAAGAAGTACAGCCAGAACGCTCCTTAGAAGCGCAGATGGTAAGAGAAACTAACTTGCTCTGTGAACCTTCACCTAAAGCACAATAAATAAATAAATCATATATACATATGCAAGAAAAAAAAAGAAATTACTCAGTACTTGAACAATGAAATTTGTTATAATGTATTGTCTTAGTCATCTAGAGCTGCTCTAACAGAAATACCACAAGGGGATGGTTTTAACAAAGAGAAATTTATTCTCTCACAGTCCAGTAGGCTACAAGTCCAAATTCAGGGCATCAGCTCCAGGAGAAGGCTTTCTCTCTCTGTGGGCTCTGGAGGAAGGTCCTTGTGATGCATCAGTCTTCCCTTGGTCTAGGAGCATCTCAGTGCAGGAACCTCAGGTCCAAAGGACGTGCTCTGCTCCCGGCACCGCTTTCTTGGTGGTATGAGGTTCCCATGTGTCTCTGCTCGCTTCTCTCTTTATATCTCAAAAGAGATTGGATTAAGACACTATCTAATCTTGTAAACCTCATCAGCATAACCTCATCCAGTGATAGAATTTACAACACATAAGGAGATCACATATAACCTCATTATAGTAATAGCATTTACAACACATAAGGAAATCACATCAGATTACACAATCATACAACACTGGGAATCACGACCCAGCTAAGTTGACAGATATTTCTGGAGGACACAATTCAATCCATGACATGTATTTTAGAGTTAATAACTAGAACACCTAACGATTTAAGTAATAAATCTTACCTAAATAAACTATGCCACTATCTCTCATTGTCAAACAGATTTAAAGCATACTTACAAATGCAAAGTTGTATATACATAAACAAAATGCAACACAACTACAAAGCAGAAACTTAATAAGCTAGCATTTACTGAGCCAGTCAGGTACTATTTAACCTTCTCAACCTTATAATAATAGAATTATTTTTAAACTCATTTTAGGACTTTTATGAGAAAACTTAGGCTTAACAAGGTTAAACAACTTGTTCAAGGCTGTTGTACACGTAACATATCCAAATATCAAATCAAATACCACTTTTCAGCTCTCAATTCAGTTCTGATACCAGGCTGCCCATGCAGCATTTCTTTCTCTAACCCAAGCCTCCCAGAGCTAGGTCAGAGCTCAGAAATTAAAAGGATACAGTCCTCCAGGCTGCCAAGCAGACTCAAGACTTCAGATGCCAGCCCCAAGTCTGGGAGTCCACAAAACACCCTTACTTCTGCTAGCTACAAATTTGGGGTTTTCCCACTACCCCTTCCGGATGCCAGTCACAGGCGCAGCGGTTAAGAACTACAGCTGCTAACCAAATGGTCAGCAGTTTGAATCCACCAGCCAGCCACTCCTTGGAAACTTTATGAGGCAGTTCTACTCTGTCCTACAGGGTCATGTTGAGTCGGAATCAACTCAACACAACGGGTTTACCCCACTCCACCCAACCCCACCCTGGACTCCCTCACTTCTGACCTGCTGGCTACAAATTCAGGGGTTCCCTCTTCCCCCAAAGAATACCAGCTGTAAACTTAGGGGTTCTCAGCCCTACTTTGCTTCTGACCTACTGGCTCCAAAAACTCCAAGTTCAATAATTCACTGGAAAAACTCACAGAACTCATGGAAAGTAATATGATTACAGTTTTACTGTATGAAAAAAGGATACAAATGAAGAGACACATGTGGGAACATCTGAGAGGGTCCCCAACACAGAGCTTCCATGTCCCATGGGATGCAATACCCTCCCACATACACTTGATGTCTCTTACCAACCAGGAAGTCCACGGAGCTTCAGTGCCCAGAGCCTTTACTCGGGGTCACATTATGTAATACAAACTCCAGTCCCTCTTCCCTGAGGTTGACCGATATCACCAGGTGATCAGAACTATCACACAGTAAGCCTTTCTGGCCTGGCCAGTTCCCATGGCAGAGTTACCTCATCATCTTACCTAACCTGTTATTTAGGTATGGTCTGGAGTCCTTATGGAAAACACTTAAATTCCAAGGTGTTTTTGTAGAGATTACCTCTCAGGAACTGAGGACAAGACCAAATTTTATGGGTAAAAAGTTAATGTAAACTCCACAGCTGTATAACTAATAAATCCCAGAACCAATCAGGTTTGTCTGACTTTCAACTGAAAAAGTCTATAGTTAAGCCAATGTTAAGACAATTTCTTAGTAAATAAGAGCCTTAATAGTGACTATGTAATATGCTTTAACTCAGAGGTCACCAAACTTTCTCTGCAAAGGGCCAGGCAGTATAAAAAGGTGTTGCAGGTCATACAATTTCTGTCACAATCATTCAACTGTCATTTTAGCACAAAGCAGACACAGACAATACGTAAACAAATTAGCAGGCTTTTTTTAATAGTAATACAACTTTATTTAAGTACAGTGAAATCTGAATTTTATATAATCTTCTTATGTCACAAAATACTATTCTTTTTATTTTTTTTCAACCATTTAAAAATGTAAAAACCAATCTTAGCTCACAGGTCATACAAAAAGAGAAGGTAGGCCAGATTTGGCCCATGGGCTTTAGTTTGCTGACTCCAGCCTTAACTGAAATGTTAAACATTAAAAAAAAAATTAATGAAATAAGATAAATATAACACAGTATTATTTAAACATAAATATTTTAAATTAAGTTTCAAATATTCACTTCATGTATTTATTCCTGTAATTTATATATATTGATATCTAGATTTACAGTACCTTTTCTCTGATATCACTTTTAACTTGCTCATCTTGAGTTACTTCGTTTGAACATTGCAGATAATCTAAAAGAAAAATGTTCAGAGATATTAAACACTTATACAAGCTTGTTTTCTATACATTAGATGTCATAAAAGCCATACAGATACAAGTTCTTCATTGTGGGTAATGCAAGATAACACTGGAAACCAAAAGAGAATGTTTGAGTTGTATGAGCCTCTGGCAGTTCACTTTAATGTACAATGTGTGACTATTAAATTACTTAAAATCAGCCAATGAAATGTTATCAAAATGCTAGAGCTACAAAAATGCAGATACCTAACACACCTTACAATCTAGTGTTAAGATTTCTTGAGACAATTCAAATTATCCTTCCTGTTCTTGCAATCCTCCTTAAAATACTCAAATCCACCAGTAGCATTCTATGACTAGTGTATACTGTCTATTATTCATACAGTAGTAAATGCTGGTAATTATGTATGATTAATTCTATATAAGAACTTTTTTAACTAATAATAAATGTTTATAGACAGTGTAAAAACCCTATATAGCATCATCTTATTTAATACACTTAGTGCACATTTTCATTCAAATAATACAGATTTCATCTTTAGAAAGTACACATTTTACATTTTAAAACAACCTTAAATCTTTTTTTTTAATTGTACTTTAGATGGAGGTTTACAGAGCAAACTAGCTTCTCATTAAACAATTAATATACATATTGTTTTATGAGATTGGTTGCCAACCCCACAACACGTCAACACTCTCCCCTTCTCGACCTTAGGATCCCCATTACCAGCTTTCCTGTCCCTTCCTGCCTTCTCGTCCTTGCCCCTGGGCTAGTGTGCCCATTTAGTGTCATTTTGTTTTTATGGGCCTGTCTAATCTTTGGCTGAAGGGTGAATCTCAGGAGTGACTTCACTGCTGAGCTAAAAGGGTGTCTCAGGGTTTCTCCAGTCTCTGTCAGACCAGTAAGTCTGTTTTGTTTTTTGTTTTTTTTTTTTTGAGTGAGAATTTTGCTCTCCATTTTTCTCCAGCGCTGTCCGGGACCCTCTGTGATCCCTGTCAGAGTAGTCGGTGGTGGTAGCTGGGCACCATCTAGTTATGCTGGACTCAGTCTGGTGGAGGCTGTGGAACTTGTGGTCCATTAGTCCTTTCTTTCCCTTGTGTCTTTGATTTTCCTCATTCTCCCTTGCTCCAGACAGGGTGAGACCAGGGGAGTATCTTAGATGGCCACTCACAAGCTTTTTAAGACCCCAAACGCTACTCACCAAAGTAGAACGTAGAACATTTTCTTTATAAACTATGTCATGCCAATTGAGCTAGATGCTCCCCAAGACCATGGTCCCCACAGCCCTCAGTCCAGTAATTTGGTCCCTCAGGGAGTTTGAATGTATCTATGCTGCTTCCATGACCTTGCCTTCGTCAAGATGTGCTGGCTTCCCCACTATTGTGTATTGTCTTACCCTTCACCAAAGTTACCACTTATCTATTGTCTATTTAGTGTAAAACAATCTTAAATCTCGACTCATACCATTTTTATAATTTTTCAGATTTATGTTGCAACTAAAAACCAAAAACCAAAACGAAACCCGTTGCCATCAAGTGGATTCCAACTCATAGGGACCCTACGGGACATAGTAGAACTGCCCCACAGGATTCCAAGGAGCAGCTGGTGGATTATGTTGCAAATGTTGCAACTGTTCCTTCCCAAAAACCCTGAATATCTTTTAATTTTATATATCACTGCTTACTGAAGCAGAATTTGTGACATCACTAAAAAGTGAAACATTAATGCCAATTCAACAAGTCAATCACATATTTATGCAATATTTAGTAATGCTATATTTAAAAGACAACAAACACGCAAAAGAACAGACTTCAAATTGTTTTACTTAACAGATTTAGAAGATACAGATATTCTGGATATTTTTCTTTTAAATCAGCAAAATACATATGTGACTTTTTTTTCATTTTTCTTTATCAACCCAATTGACTTTTTTAATAATGACTACAAAATCAAAGTAACTTTCTTCCAATTTCCAAGTTAATTTAGAATCACTATATATTCAAAGGAGAAAAATATCCTATGTGCTTTCAAAAGTGTTGTTGCTGCCAAAATCAGGAGTTTAAGACACTTCTGCATGTTGACTGGTATGACTTTCTCTAAAGCTATGTTAACAGCACAGAGTTGAAAAGGTTAATGTTGGGCACTATGTCATAGCCAATGCTGCTTCAGCAGTTAAGCCCTGATTCAAATTTCCAGTTCACATAGTGTAACACAGGCAGTTCTCTCCTCTCCCTCCCAGGACTTGATTAAAATAGATAGCAACGAAATAAAGTTATGTTTAAGCCCACGGTGACAAAAAAGAAACCTGGGGAGGGGTGGGGGCTGCACGGAGGGGATAAGAAGATGAGAAAATTCATGATGAGGGGGAGGTATTTGCCCAGAAGAACCTAGGAAAGGCCAGGGACGTGGAAATGCCAAGGACCACAGACGAAGAGACTGAGAAACAGCATGTAACTTCCTACACCTCGACACCCCCAGGTCCCACAATTGTGGAAAATGCTCAACAGCCAGGCATCTAACCCCCAGTAAATAATCAAAGAACTCTTTACCAAAGAAACTGACAACCCCACGAATTCTGCTTTTTGGAACTTAAAAGTCCCGGAGGGAAAAAGTCAGCTCTCAATGCCATTACCCTGGGGCTAAGCCACTGAGTCCCACACACGGCCTCAGAGTCCACTTCTTATTGCTGAAGCCTGAGGCCAGAGCACATCAGAGTATACAGAAAACCTCTGCTGTGAAAGTCTGTGTTCATTACAGTTATGGTGTAATAGAAAAAACAGGCAACTAATAGTAAGTGTTGGATTTTACCAAGTTTGTGGTTTTGCCAAGCAAGTGTGACAACGCAAGAACCCGTTACTGTCGAGTCGATTTCGATTCATAGCAACCCTATAGGACAGAGTAGAACTGCCCATAGGGTTTCCAAAGCTGTAAATCTTTACGGAAGCAGACTGCTACATCTTTCTCCCACTGAGTGTCTGACAGGTTTCAACCGCAGACCTTTCGGTTAGCAGCTGAGCACTTAACCACTGTGCCACCAGGGCTCCTTTGTCAGCAAGACAGGGGCAATATTGAGTGTTGTTGAGAGTGCTGGCAAGGGAGTGACTATAATGACTGACCACGGCACATAAGTATAATCTACACATTCCTCTTTACTGGATCTTTTTCATGACCATATAATCACGCTGTTATTTCTATCTCGTAGGGGAAAAAACTTATTTTCTTGCTCCCACTTCCTCAATCCACCTACTGCCTCATTTCTCTCCTCCTTACAGTGAAGAATTTCTATGCTCGCTGTCAACAATTCCTCTCTTCCCATACTCTCTTAAACACAACCGAATCAGGCTTTTTTGAGTCACCAATGGCCTCCATGTTCCTAAATCTACTTGCCGGTTCTTAGTCCTCATCTCACTTGTTCTATCCGCAGCTGTTACGGGTTAAACTTTGTCCCCCAAAAATATGTGTTGTAAATCCTAACCTCTATGCCTGTGGTCCATAATCCCATTTGGGAATGGGTTGTCTTTGTTATGTTAATGAGACAGGATTAGTGTAGAGTGTATTTTGAGTCAACCTTTTTTGAGGTATAAAAGAGATTAAACAAGTGAGCAGAAGCAGAGATGGGGAAGAGAGATGCCAAGACACGTGGAGATCTCCCAGGAGCAGAAACTCAATGGCACATGGACCTTCCTCCAAAGCCAACAGAAAGCCTTCCCCTAGAGCCAGCACGCTGAATTCGAACTTCTAGCCTCCTAAACTGTGACAAAATAAATTTGTTTGTCAAAGCCACCCATTTACAGTATTTCTCTTACAGCAGCATTTGATACAGCTGATCATTCCCTCTTCTTGGAAATACTTTTCTTCATTTGAATGTACCCTGTTTTCTGCCTAACTAACTGGCCAGCCCCTCCTTCTAAATTTCCTTTACTGAAGTGCCTTGGGGCTCAGTTGTTGTCCTCTTCTAACCTCTTCCTTGGTGGTCTCATACTCAACATCTCCACTTGAATCTCTAATAAGTCATAAACTCAACATATCCAAAACTGATCTTGTGATCTTCTTTTCCAAACCTGCTCCACCTTCAGCTTTCCCCATCTAAACTAAAGACAATTCTTTCTCTCCAACTGCTCATTATTCATTCTTGGCTCCTGTCTTATACCCCACATCCAATCCAAAAGGAAGTCCTACTTTCAAAATATACCCAGAATCTGACTAGATATCACTTCACCACATCTACTACCACCACCCTGGCCCAAGGCCCCATCACCACTAGTCTCCCTTCTTTTAATCCCCACCCTCCACACACACAGTCTAACCTCAACACAACAGCCTGAGTGATCCTCTTAAAACTTTAGATAGATCTTGTCACCACTTTGATCAAAGTTTTGCAATGCTCCACATTTCAGTGGCATAAAAGGCCCTACAGGAACGTCCCCCGAACCCTTACCTCTCTAACCTCATCTCCAACAACTCTCCTCGCTCACTCTGCTCCAGACACACTGACTGGGCCTCCTTGTTTTTCTCCAACACACCAGGTTCACTCAAACTATTCCCTCTGCCCGGATAGCTCTTCTGCCAGATATCCAAAGAAGTAACTCCCTCATATCTTTTGCTCAAATATTATCTTTTCAATAAAGCTTATCCCAACCATCCTAGTTAATATTACAAACCCATCTTCCAACCCTAGCATGCCCATTGCCCCCTGCCCAGACCTACTTTGTCTTTTTCCAGATCACTTATGGTCTTCTAATACAGGATGATGTGGGTAGTAGAAACCCAAGGTTCTTGATATAGCCACTTAAGAAGTCACATGGCATGACAGCTAATATCTCAGTGGTCACTATTTGTCTTTTGAATCACCTTATAAACTAGATAATTTAACTATGTATACTATTGATTAGCTATCTCTCTCCACTAGAATAAAAGTTTCACAAGGGCAAGACATCTTTGTTTTGCTCACGAAATGTCTCCCAAGTGCCTAGAACCGTGTCGGCACAATGC